GTGTGTGTGTGTGTGTGTGTCTGTGCGTGTGTGCGTGTGTGTGTGTGCGTGTGTGTCTGTGCGTGTGCGTGTGTGTGGTAGGTGACTCTTACAGGTCACAGCAGGAAGGTGACGGCGGCGAGGTTCAGCAGCATCACCCATCAGGTGGTGACAGGAAGTGCCGATGGCACCATCAGACTGTGGGACCTGCGGCGAGCTGCCTGTGAGTAACCGTGCGTGCCTGCTGCTGATTGGCTCATGGCGTCCCTGCAGGTGGAGTGTATTTAAGGCAGACTGTGTCCCTGCAGGTCTGCAGTCGCGTAATGTGGCGAAGTACTGCAGCGACCTGGTGTGCTCTGAGAACTGCATCATCAGCGGACACTACGACGGGCAGATCAGAGCGTGGGACTCCAGGTTGGTCTGCCACGCCGCAGCACACCTGTGCACCACCTGATGCTGAGCCACGCCTCCGCTTCAGTAGAATCATTAGAATCTGATTCCTTTCATTCAGACACCTCTCGTTTACTCCTCCCAGCCGTTTCCAGGGTGACACCCCGTCTCCCTCTGTTACTTAGCAACAGCTTAGCTCACAGACTCCCCTCAGTGTCCTGAAGTCTGTCTGAAGCAGCAGGTGATTGACAGCTCTGCCCACCATTTACACGCCAGCATCAGCTCTCACTGCGCGTGGTTGATCAGAAACCGTGTTTACCTTTGTATCTTCTCCAGTTTTCTGTTTCTGATCATCGGTTTAGCGTAAAAGTTATTATTCGGGGTCGAGCCCCTGATGCTTGCACCTGCTCTCGTGAGCTTTGGCGCCATCAGCTGGTCAGAGATGAAGGCGTGTTTAAAGCCGTTCTTAAATCAAATGCTTTTCTTTACGTTCAGGGTGGCGAGCTGCGTTCAGGTGTTTCCTGCTCAGGGAAAAGTCACCTCGTTGGACCTCAGTTCTGACCACTGCCAGCTGCTCAGCTGTTGCCGTGACGACTGTCTCCAACTGTTCGACCTGAGGAGGTGGAGCAACGAGCGCGTGACCTTCAGGTACGTCAGGACGAGGTGATGCTCTGCCAAAACAAACTTCCTGTCCATCTGTCTGACGTTTGTCTGTTTGTGTCTCAGAGCCGACGGGTTCAAATGTGGCAGCGACAGCACCAAAGCCGTCATCAGGTGAGTCACATGATCAGTGACATCAGAACCAAGCACTACAAGGGTCAGTGAAGCAGAAGACTGTTAGCCGTGCTTACTGGGCGCGCCCCGAGTTAGGAAAAGGCTCACTTTCAGTTGATGACCAAAGCAACTACCAATGAGAGTGAAGGATACTGCTGAGTGACAGAGAGGACGTGTGACCATCGATGAAAAATGAACATGTGACTGCGGGACGTCTCGCTTTTGTCAGAGTTACAGATGAAGCGGTTCCAGGGTCCAGTTCAGGGGCTGCAGTTAGGTGTGTCACCCTCCACCTGTCAGTCAGAGGCCACGCCCCTAATAATGCAAACTTTCGTTCTTAATACTACATAAACAGGCGGGTTATTAAAGGAAAAGGCTGTAACATTTCTGCTGTCTGACTCACTGCCGCCTCAGCTGGACATCAGAGGAACTGCAGGCTGCTGTTGAGCGCAGTGTCAGTCCTTCCTTGTGTCTTTATGTTTGAGTCACGTTGTTGGGTTTCTCTCTTTACTGTAAATCTTTAACATCACGTCGTCGTAGCGGCTGCAGGTCAGCCCGGCACGTGCCTGTCCTCGGTGTCCGGGTGGAAGCGGGGAGGCGGGGCTGCCAGCAGAGTTTGGCTCGGTGCTCTGATCGATTATCACAAGTTTAATCGTCGGATGGAGAGGACTGTTTCTGGGCCAGAGAGATAAAAATAGGGCGAGCTGGAGACGGGGAGAGATGAGATCGGGAGATTGGTTGATTTTCTGCTGTTTCCATGACGACAGCAAGGCAGGGATGCTTTGCGCCTGTTCGGCTCCCTGACAGAACCACTGCACATGTGAGTCCAACATGCACAGCTGCTCTGCCTACACTACGCCGAGCTTCGCCTGCTGTTGGATTCGTACCTGTGATTCCTACATTTGTCTGTTCTCATCGGGTCTCTTGTTCAGCTTCTCGGGAGCCAGACTGACAGTGTCTCTAAAGTCTTCAGACTCAGCTGTCCACATGGCGGCAAACCGCTGACAGCATTTTAATCTGCACGAGGCCACATGCACATCTGCGTCAAAGCAGGAATGACAACAGAAGGTGAAGCAGTATAAAACACACGTGCTGAGTATCAGCGTCACAACTTTCACCGACGCGTCGAAATCTCGCCGACTCGGAGCAGCCCTCGACGCTCTCTCCTGACCTGAGCAGTTAAAGTTGTCATGTTTTGTTTGTTTTTTCCCGCCTGTCCCGTTTGGCTCTTTTGCATCAGAATTGTTGTCTAAAGGTGAAGAAAGATGCCCAACAATTTACTTTACCAAATGGACCATCCCAGCCTTGCTGTAATGGTCCATTTGATTCACCTTTTATTGTTTATTTTATTTTATTTTCACTTGCTCCACACGGGACAGACATGACTGTGGGAAAGAACAACAGCGGGGAAGAGGGGCGGGGATAAAGGGCAAAAAACGACAAAATAAGCAGACAAAACATCCATCTATCAATCACCTGGATCACCTGCTGAGAAAGAAAAAAGAAAGCAAGCAGAAGAGAACAAGAGTAATAGAATAAACAACATCACAATGATATATGTGAATATGACAGTAAATACTAAATATT